ATGAGAACACCAGGAGCAGGATTGGGACACCAGGAGCAGGATGGGGGCTTGCCAGCCACACCCTGCTCCTCCCCTGGGATTAATTTCCCGCTCCTCGCCCCATGTCCGAGGTGTCCCCAGGAGGGTTTGGCTGCGTTGGGCTCCTGGAGGGGAAGTGCGATGGGGGGAGGGGTCAGGCCAGGCCTTGTTGTCCCCAGTGGTCCTTGAGTGTCCCAAAATCAGGGCTCGGGATCTCAGAGGGGTTCTCTGGCCATGACCACGGCCATGACATGAGCATGAGATGGCCGTGAGAGTGACCATGAGTGACACAACCCTGAGATGACTATGACCATGGGATGACCATGACCATGACCATGAGATGACCATGACACAATCATAACCCTGACCGTGAGATTATTTGGACCAAGAGATGACTGTGGGTTGGCCATGGCACAACCATGGCCTTGAGGTGACCCTGATGTGATCGTGGCCATGAGATGACCGTAAAGTGACAATGACATGATCATGAGATGGCCGTGACAATGACTCAGCTCTGATCCTGACATGACCATGATATGATGGTAGCCATGAGTTGGCCATGAGATGATCATGACTGTGACCATGATACAACCATGACCATGAGATGACCATGATGATTATGGCCATGAGCTGGCCATGAGATGACCGTGTGATGACCATGACTGTGACCATGGCCATGAGATGATCATGACCATGAGAGGACTGTGACCGTCAGATGACCATGACACAGCCATGAGCATGAGATGGTGACCATGAGAGGACCATGAACATGAGATGATTGTGATCAGGAGACAACCGTAAACATGAGATGATGGTGATCAGGAGATGACCATGACATGACTGTGGCCATGAGTTGGCCATGAGATGACCATGACCATTTCATGACCATGAGCATTTCATGACCATGACAAAGCCATAACATGATCAAGGTCATGAGGTGACCATGACTTAACCATGGCCAGGGGGTCATAAAGACCCCATGAGATGAACTCATGATGAGCTTTTGCTCATCATGAGATGAGCAAGAGATGACCATGGCCATGATACAATAATGACCTCCAGATGACCATAACAATGAGACAACCATGACCATGTGATGGCCATGAGCTGACCATGATGTGATTTGGAACATCAGATGAGCATAACAATGACTGAGGATGAGATGATGACTATCAGGAAATGACTATGTGTCTTGGTTTGACCCAGAAGTGAGTTTTTGGAGAAGTTGTGGTCAAACCAATCAGTGGCCAGATTTGAAATTGGGACTTGTGGTGGCCACTGAGGTTTGGATATGCCTCTGAGAACACAGGGGTTAAAAGCAGGAAATTCCCAGAGAGACTCCCTCTTTGGAATCCGGTGTTGGTGAGTGGAGTCTGAACCTCTCCCCTGCCCAGCTGCGTCTGGGTGGGGCAGGGGGAGGCCATGCAGCCTGTGGGAGGAGGCCGGAGGCCTGTGAGGTGCAGGGGTGGAGGAGACCGTGCAGGGGTGGAAGAGACTTGGGATGTCTGGGCAGCCTGCCCCGGAGAGAGAGACACAGACTGTGCTGGCAGCTCAGCTGGCCAGAAGCGGGGGATGCGGCAGCTCTGCGAGTCCTTGGGCAGGCAGAAGTGAAGATTTTAACCCCTTTGTAGACTAATGGGAACCTTACAAATACTGAATCCTCCTGAATCAGAATGAGGTTCCAGGGGAAGCTATGGTGCAAAGGGAGACTCCTCTCTCCCTGATGGATTTGAGAGTTGATTATTTGAGGGGTGATAATGGACTGAAAGTTGATTATGTGAGAGATGGTGACGTGGTGGAAATCTATGGTGTGATTTCATTCTGTGGAGAAAATGGAGGGGGGAGGAGGAATGTATTTGGAGGGTTTTCATTCTTAGCTTTGTGTGTGTTCCTTTTTAGATATTGTAATGAATAAAGTGTTGTGTTTTTCCCTCCATGCCCAAGTGAGAGCCTGCTTTGTTCTGTTTCTGGGTTACATCTCACAGTAACCATTCTGGACCTTTCATGGGGGCCCTGGCATTGTGCCAGGGTCAAACCATGACACCATGACCATGTGATGGTCATGAGATGGCTGATCATGTAATAACCATGACCACAACCCAACCACAGCTGAGAGATGACCATGACAAGATTGTGGCAAATGAGTTGAACATGAGATGATCACCATGAGATGGCTGATCATGGGATAACCATGACCATGACCCAACCACAGCTGAGAGATGACCATGACAAGATTGTGGCAAATGAGTTGAACATGAGATGATCATAAAATGACCATGACCGTGCAATGACCATGAACGTGACCATGACACAACCATGACCATGGGATGACCATTACAATGAGATAACCATGACTGTGAGATGACCATGAGCATGTGATGATTGTGACCAAGAGATGACCAGGAGATGATCACAACACACCATGACCATGTGATGGCCATGAGATGGCTGATCATGGGATAACCATGACCATGACCCAACCACAGCTGAGAGATGACCATGACAAGATTGTGGCAAATGAGTTGAACGTGAGATGATCATAAAATGACCATGACCATGAACGTGACCATGACACAACCATGACCATGGGATGACCATTACAATGAGATAACCATGACTGTGAGATGACCATGAGCATGTGATGATTGTGACCAGGAGATGATCACAACACACCATGGCCATGTGTGATCATGATCATAACATGACTGTGAGATGACCATTACAGTGAGATATCCATGAGCATGATGATGGTCATCAGGAAATGACCATCACCCTGAGATGGCCATGAGATGACTGTGACCATGAGATGATTGTGACCATGACATGACCACAATGCAGCCGTGGCCATGTGGTAATCAAGGCCATGAGATCACCACGACTGTGACCATAATACAACCACAACCATGAAATGATCAAGATCATGACAAGATTTTGACCATGAGTTGAGATAACCATGACCATGACACAATCACAGATGTAAGTTGACCATGATGTGATTGTGGCCATGAGTTGACCATGAGGCAACAATGAGATGACCATGACATGACTGTGAGCATTTGATAACTGTGACCAAAAGATGACAATGAAGTGACCACAACACATCATGGCCATGTGGTGACCAAGATCATGAGATAATCGTGAGATGACCACAACCATGACATGATTATGACCATGAGATGATCATTGCAGTGAGATGACCATGACCATGGAAGAACCATGACTGTGACACAGCCACAGCTTTGATGATGTATTTGTGGCCATGATATGACCACGAGGTGACCAAGAAATGACCATGAGATGACCATGAAACCATTATGGCCAAAGTGATCCAGACCATGAGATGACCTTGACCATGCAATGACCATGACACAACCATGGCACAACCATGACCTTGGGATGACCATGAGGTGATCATTACAGTGAGGTGTCAATGAGCATGAGATAATGGGGATTGGGAGATGACCAAGACCATGAGATGAACATGCAATGACCATGACACAACCATGAGCATGAGATGATTGAGATTAGCAGATGACCACAACATGACCATGGCTATGAAATGATTGAGGCCACAGGGTGACCACAATCATGAGATAATGATGATAAACAGATTATTATGATCATGAGATGACCATGACCATGATATGAACTTGACAGAACTATGACCATGACTGTGACCATGCCCGTGAGATAATGGTGATCAGGAATGAGATGACAATTATGGTGAGTTGACCGTGAGCATGAGATGATGGTGATCAGGGAATGAACGTGACTGTCATGGTGACACCATGACCGTGATGATGACATAACTACGACTGTGAGATGACCATGACCATGAGATATTGAGACCAAGAGATGACCATGAGATGACCATGACTACGACCTTGAGATGACCATGACACAACCATGGCCATGAGGACAAGAAATGTCCATGACTGGGACCATGACATAACAATGACTGTGACATGACCATGGCCACGAGGCATTGTGACCAAGAAATCACCACGACATGACCATGACCATAACGTGATCTATGACCATGAGCATGAAACGATGGTGATCAGGAGATGACCATCACCATGACATGACCATGAGATGATTCTGACCATGACACGACCATGGCCATGAGATGACCATAATATGATTATGGCCATGAGTTGACCCTGGGATGACCGCGACCCGGCCATGGTCTGGAGCTCCCCAGACCCCGTCGCTGCCCTCACCTCCAGGTTCATCCCTTACTGAAATTGTTCATTTCCCATGGAAAATACGGAAATTTGAGCAGGGCGCAGCCAATGGAGCGCCGGGGAACCAGTGACGTCACAGGTTGCCGGGCAGAACAGATTTCCCCTTCCCGCCCTTGGCGCCGCAGCCAATGGAAAACCGCGTTTTCGGTGACGTCACCGCGCTAATGCGGAAGTAGCACGCGCGGGCGCTGCCGGGATCGGGGCGGCGGTCGCGATCGATCCCGATCGGCTCCGATCGATCCCCATCGATCCCCATCGATCCCCATCGATCCCCATCGATCCCCCATGACACGACCATGGCCATGAGATGACCATAATATGATTATGGCCATGAGTTGACCCTGGGATGACCGCGACCCGGCCATGGTCTGGAGCTCCCCAGACCCCGTCACTGCCCTCACCTCCAGGTTCATCCCTTACTGAAATTGTTCATTTCCCATGGAAAATACGGAAATTTGAGCAGGGCGCAGCCAATGGAGCGCCGGGAAATCAGTGACGTCACAGGTTGCCAGGCAGAACAGATCACCCTTCCCGCCCTTGGCGCCGCAGCCAATGGAAAACCGCGTTTTCGGTGACGTCACCGCGCTAATGCGGAAGTAGCACGCGCGGGCGCTGCCGGGATCGGGGCGGCGGTCGCGATCGATCCCGATCGGCTCCGATCGATCCCCATCGATCCCCATCGATCCCCATCGATCCCCATCGATCCCCATCGATCCCCGGCCCTCCCCCGCCGCCATGTTCTTCACCTGCGGCCCCAACGAGGCCATGGTGGTGTCGGGTGAGTTCGGGGGGCCCGGGGGCTCCTGGGGACCCTCAGAACTCCTGGGAACCCCCAAATCCCCCCGATATCTCCCGGGAATCCCCTGAATTCCCTCCAAAACTCTTCCGGGAACCCCCAGAATTCCCCCCAGAATCCCGGGAATCCCCAGAATCCCCCCCAAAACTCCCGGGAATCCCCTGAATTCCCTCCAAAACTCTTCCGGGAACCCCCAGAATTCCCCCCAGAATCCCGGGAATCCCCAGAATCCCCCCCAAAACTCCCGGGAATCCCCTGAATTCCCTCCAAAACTCTTCCGGGAACCCCCAGAATTCCCCCCAGAATCCCGGGAATCCCCAGAATCCCCCCCAAAACTCCCGGGAATCCCCTGAATTCCCTCCAAAACTCTTCCGGGAACCCCCAGAATTCCCCCCAGAATCCCGGGAATCCCCAGAATCCCCCCCAAAACTCCCGGGAATCCCCTGAATTCCCTCCAAAACTCTTCCGGGAACCCCCAAATCCCCTCGAAATCTCCCGGGAATCCCCAGAATCCCCCCCAAAACTCCCGGGAATCCCCAGAATTCCCTCCAAAACTCTTCCGGGAACCCCCAGAATTCCCCACCACCCCAAATCTTTTGGGAACCCCCAGAATTCCCAGAAAACTCCCGGGAATCCCCAGAATTCCCCCCAAAACCCTTCCGGGAACGCCCAGAATTCCTCCCCGCCCTAAATCTCTTGGGAACCCCCAGAATCAGAATCCCGGGAATCCCCAGAATCCGCCCCAAAATTCCCCTGTACCTGCAAAATTGGCGCAAATCTCCCGGGAATCCCCAGAATTCCCCCAACACGCTGACGCTGCCGGTGCGCAGTGAGAAGGTTTACACCCGCCACGGGGTGCCCATCTCCGTCACCGGCATCGCACAGGTACCCCCCATCCCCCCAAAACTCCCGGAAAATCCCCAGAATTCCCCCCAAAACCCTTCCGGGAACGCCCAGAATTCCTCCCCGCCCTAAATCTCTTGGGAACCCCCAGAATTCCCCCACCAAAACAGCCCAAAAATCCTCCAAAAATTCCCCCAAAAATCCCCTCATGGACCCCCAAAAATCCCCTCATAGACCCCCAAAACAGCCCAAAAATCCCTCCATCCCCCATCAGAAGGGCCAAAAATAAAATAAAAAACAAAATCCCGTCCTGGAGTACCAAAACAGCCCAAAAATCCCCCAAAACCACTCCAAAAATCCCCTCGTGGACCCCCAAAAATCCCTCCCAAAAATCCCCCAAAAATTCTCCCAAAAACACTCCAAAAATCCCCTCCCAAAATCCCCCCAGAATTGCTTCCAGTGCTCCCAAAAACCCCCTCCTGGACTGCCAAAAGTACCCTGAAAATCCCCCAAAAATCCTCTCCTTGACCCTTGAAAATCCCCCCTCAGAATCCCCAAAAATCTCATGGACCCCCAAAACAGCCCAAAAATCCCACCCAAAAATCCCCCAAAAATTCCCCGAAAAACACTCCAAAAATCCCCTCTCAAAATCCCCCCAGAATCGCTTCCAGTGCTCCCAAAAATCCCCTCCTGGACTGCCAAAAATACCCTAAATATCCCCCAAAAAACCTCTCCTTGACCCTTGAAAATCCCCCCTCAGAATCCTCAAAAATCCCCTCCTGGACCCTTGGAAACCCCCTAAGGAATCTCCCACCAAAACCCCAAAAATCCCCTAAAAATCGCCCCGGGATCCCCAAAATGCCCCTGGGAACCCCCAACCCTTCCTGGACCCCAACATCCCACTGGTACCCCAACAATCTCATTCAGAACTCCCAAAAAATCCACTCAGAACCCCCAAAATCTCTTTGGGAACCCCCAAAATCCCCCTCTGGACCCCCCAGAACCCCCAAATATCCCACGTGCCTACCCCCAAACCCCCCTCGGGACCCCCAAAACCACACTCTGAACCCCCCAGAATCTCCTTGGAACCTCCCAAAAATGCTCCGGGACCCCCAAATGCCCCCTGGGACCCCCCAAAAAAACCCCTGGGATGGGAAGGGGAATCCCCCTTAAAAGGGGCTTGGAGTGGTGGGGACCCAAAAAATCCTTAAGTGGTGGCAAAACCCTTAGAAACCCTTAAAAATAATTTAAATTCCTTTAAAAACTTTTAGAAAGTCTTTAAAAGCGAAAATGTTTGTGATGGGTCAGCTTCCCTAAACCCTTCTTAAAGGGGCCAAGGTCCAATCCCTAAAGGTGCTTGGGGTGGTGGGAGTCTCAGAAAATCCTTAAGGGGCTCAAAACCCTTAAAAACCCTCTTAAAAACCCTTTAAAAACCTATTAAAAACCGTTTAAAAGCCATAAAAAAACCCATAGAAACAAAAAGGGTTTGTGATGGTGGGGGCTGCCTAAACTCTTCCTAAAGGGATCAAGATCCAACTTGTACAGGGGCTTGGTGAGGTGGGGACCCCAAAATCACACTGGGGAGTCAGGACCCCCCCCTTAAAAGGGGTTTTTGTTGGTGGGGACCCCTTTGAGAGGGGTAAGACCCCCCCAAAAATGGGCTGGGGCTGGTGGAACCCCCAAGCCCCCTCCAAGACCCCTTTAAAGGGCATTGCCCTGGTGGTCCCCACCCTGTTAAACAACCAGCCTCTTAAAAGGGCAGTGCCACACCTAACCCTTGAAGAGGCCACGCCAATTTTGGGGGGGGTCCCAGGGGTGGCTGGGGGGGTCCCCGGGTGATCCCAGCACTCCCCCACAGGTGAAGATCCAGGGGCAGAACAAGGAGATGCTGGCGGCCGCCTGCCAGATGTTCCTGGGCAAGTCGGAGAGCGAGATCGGCCAGATCGCCCTGGAGACGCTGGAGGGCCACCAGCGTGCCATCATGGCCCACATGACCGTGGAGGTGGGGCTGGGGGGAGCCACGCCCTTTTTTGGGAACCCATGCCCCTCCCAGGACAGCCACACCCACTTGGGAGCCAGTCAGCACCCCCCTCACTTGGGATGTGGTGCCTTTAAGAAATCCCAGATTTACTTGGAAAGTCCGTTGTCCCAGAAGCCACGCCCCCGATGTGGCCACACCCACCTGGATAGACACACCCCCTCAGGGACCAGTCACCACCCCTCATCTGGGGTGGGATCTGGCCCTTTAAGAGACCCCTTCCCCATTTGGCCCATAAGCTCCACCCCTTGAAAGGCCCCACTCCTGGAGGAGGCCACACCCACTGGTGAAGCCACACCCACAAGGTGTCACCCTTTTGCTAAAGCCCTGCCCACCAGCACAAGATTATCTTTCCCTGGCCCCACCCCCTCTAAGGCCACGCCCATCACTGCCCCACCCCTGCCCTAAGCCCCGCCTCCCTTCTTCACCCTGCCCCAATATAAGCCCCACCCCATCTCAGAGCCACACCCACCAGACTCCACCCCTGCCTCAAGCCACGCCCCCTGCACCAAGCCACGCCCCTTAGTCCTGACCCCACCCCTCACTTTAGGCCATGCCCAACCAGCTCCGCCCAGCACAAACCACACCCATGGCTCCACCCCTTACTCAAGCCACACCCACCTAGCACCACCCCCTTGCTCAAGCCACGCCCATTTTGGGTCAAGCCACACCCCCAAGCTGAGCCACTCCCCTGACTCCACCCTGGGGCCAAGCCACGCCCACTGGATCAAGCCACGCCCACTGGACCAAGCCACACCCACCAGGCTGCACTCCTCTGTACAAGTTACTCCCAAAACAAAGCCACGCTCACCTGGCTCCACCCACTTCCCAAAGCCACGTCCCCTTTGCTCAAGCCACGCCCCACTTTAAACCTGACCTCACCTGCTTAAGCCACACCCACAGAATGAAGCCACGCCCCCGAGATCAAAGCCACACCCCCAGGGCAAAGCCTCGCCCACCTGGCACCACCCATTGCTCCAAGCCACGCCCCCTGTATAAACCACGCCCTTTCTCTGCTAGCCACACCTTATTTTGTCCCTGCCCCTTTAAGCCCCACCCCTCTAAGCCCCGCCCCATTTAAACTCCACCCCCTTGGGCCCCACCCTGCTAAGCCCTGCCTCACAAAGCCCCACTTTGAGCCTCACACTACTAAGCTCTGCCCAATTTGAGCCTCACCCTGCTAAGCCTTGCCCAATATAAACCCCACGTGGGCCCCACCCAGCTAAGCCCCGCCCCCATTTGAGCCCCGCCCCGCTAAGCCCCGCCCCGGCCCCGCCCAGGAGATCTACAAGGACCGGCAGAAGTTCTCGGATCAGGTTTTCCGCGTGGCCTCGTCCGACCTGGTGAACATGGGCATCTCCGTGGTCAGCTACACCCTCAAGGACGTGCACGACGAGCAGGTGACACCCGGGGCGTGGCTGGGGACACCTGGGGACAGCCAGGGTACACCTTGGATACACCTGGGAGCAGCTGGGGACACCTGGGGACAGCCAGGATACACCTTGGATACACCTGGGAGCAGCTGGGGACACCTGGGGACAGCCAGGATAAACCTTGGATACACCTGGGGACACCTGGGGACACACCTGGGACACCTGGGTTTAATGTCACGATCCGCTGGTACAATCAGGGGTTGTGATGATTTGTTAACTGATCACAGAGTTCAAAGAAAAACACAGAGGGGGTGTCAGTATTTATCAAAACAAATGCAGGTTTTATTGAGTGCCCACAGCAAATGTGACAGACAGAACAGAAAGGAGATAAAGGATAGGGGGAGAATGAGGGGGAGTGGAATAGCTACGAACAGAAAAAATAAATCCTCGTGGTCTGGCCAATAGATCCGTCTTGTCACGTCAGGGAGAATCTCAAAGTCTTGGTTAACTCAGGGGTCTGTTATCGTCCTCAGCCAAGCAGGGGAAGCAGGTAAATCTATTGAAAACGGGTACAGACAGACCATTCTCAGCAGTGTGGGAGAGTCATTGTTTTCTTGGTCCAACAACCACACCAGGGCTTACCAAAATCCCCCAAAAATTCCCCCAAAAACACTCCAAAAATCCCCTCACAGACCCCCAAAACAGCCCAAAAATCCCCCCCAAAAATTCTCCCAAAACCACTCCAAAAATCCCCTCCCAAAATCCCGCCAGAATTGGGGGCTGGTGGGGCTTGATCAGGCCAGCCCCACCCTGGTGAGGATCTCAGTCCTTGGGAGGGGGCTTCACTCTCTGCCCATCAATGTGGTGGTGAAGCAGATGAAGGATTTTCTGAGGGGGACCACCAAAGTTACCCCGAAAAGTTCATTTGGCTGAGAGGTGGGGAAATTCCCGGGCTGCTGGCATGAGGCAGGTGCAGGTATGGGGTGAGCTGCTCCTTGAAGAAGCGTGCCATGATGGGAAGGTCACCTCCAGTCACCTGGCAGGCCAGGACTCTGCTCAGGGTCATCAGATCTGGGCAAGCATCCACCTCTACCCGGCTGGTCCAGCTGGGGTCTTCAGTGGCCCTGGTCTGTGCTCTTGTGGCAGCCATGAGGCAAATGAGGGAAACTTCAGACGGTCTCTTGCAGCTGGAGATACCTGGGCACACCTGGGACACAGCTGGGACACACCTGGGCACAGCTGGGACACAACCGAGACACTCAGGACACAGCTGGTGGGGCTTGATCAGGCCAGCCCCACCCTGGTGAGGATCTCAGTCCTTGGGAGGGGGCTTCAGTCTCCGTCCATCACGGTGGTGGTGAAGCAGATGAAGGATTTTCTGAGGGGGACCACCAAAGTTACCCCGAAAAGTTCATTTGGCTGAGAGGTGGGGAAATTCCCGGGCTGCTGGCATGAGGCAGGTGCAGGTATGGGGTGAGCTGCTCCTTGAAGAAGCGTGCCATGATGGGAAGGTCACCTCCAGTCACCTGGCAGGCCAGGACTCTGCTCAGGGTCCTCAGATCTGGGCAAGCATCCACCTCTACCCGGCTGGTCCAGCTGGGGTCTTCAGTGGCCCTGGTCTGTGCTCTTGTGGCAGCCATGAGGCAAATGAGGGAAACTTCAGACGGTCTCTTGCAGCTGGAGATACCTGGGCACACCTGGGACACAGCTGGGACACACCTGGGCACAGCTGGGACACAGCTGGGACACACCTGGGCACAGCTGGGACAGCTGGGGGCGGTCTAAGACACACCTGGGATGTGCCTGGGGGGGATGGAGTGACACAAGTGTGACAGGGAGGTGACACAGGCGTGACAGGGAGGTGACACAGGTGACACAGGCGTGTCCCCGCGCAGGATTACCTGCGCTCCCTCGGGAAGGGCCGCACGGCGCAGGTGCAGGGGTGACACAGGTGTGACAGGGAGGTGACACAGGTGTCTGGGACACACTTGGAGATGTCCAGGGACAAGATGGGGACACCTGGGACACACCTGGGCACAGCTGGGACACAACTGAGACACTCAGGACACAGCTGGGACACACTTGGGACACTCAGGGCACACCTGGGACACACTTGGAGATGTCCAGGGACAAAATGGGGACACCTGGGACACACCTGGGACACAACCGAGACACTCAGGACACACCTGGGACACACCTGGGCACAGCTGGGACAGCTGGGGGCGGTCTAAGACACACCTGGGATGTGCCTGGGGGGGATGGAGTGACACAAGTGTGACAGGGAGGTGACACAGGCGTGACAGGGAGGTGACACAGGTGACACAGGCGTGTCCCCGCGCAGGATTACCTGCGCTCCCTCGGGAAGGGCCGCACGGCGCAGGTGCAGGGGTGACACAGGTGTGACAGGGAGGTGACACAGGTGTGACAGGGAGGTGACACAGGTGTGACAGGCGTGTCCCCGTGCAGGATTACCTGCGCTCCCTCGGGAAGGGCCGCACGGCGCAGGTGCAGGGGTGACACAGGTGTGACAGGCGTGTCCCCGCGCAGGATTACCTGCGCTCCCTCGGGAAGGGCCGCACGGCGCAGGTGCAGCGCGACGCCCGCGTGGGAGAGGCCGAGGCCAAACGCGACGCCGGGATCCGCGTGAGTGACACCGGGGACACCCGGGGACATTGGGGACACACCTGAGGATACCTGGGGGCAGCTGGGTCACCTTCCTATCAATCACCCCCCAGTATTCCCAGTGCCCCCAGTACCCCCTTCCCCAACCTGCCCCAGTGTTCCCAGTGCTCCCAGTACTCTCCCAGTACCCCACTAATGCCACTCCAGCACCTCCCAGTCCTTGTCCAGCCCCTTGAGGTACACTCAGTACCCCAGTCCCTCCCAGTGCTCCCAGTGCCTTTCTAGTCCCGTTCCAGTTCCTCCCAGTCTCTCCCAGTACCCCCATTCCCCAAACTACCCCAACACCTGCAGTGCTCCCAGTGCTCCCAGTGCCCCATTCCCCAGTCCTTCCCAGTCCTAGCCCTGTGCTCTTCCACTTCCTCCCAGTCCATCCCAGCCCCTTCCAGTCCCTTCCAGTCCCTCCCAGTTCACTCCCAGTCCTTCCCAGTCCATCCCAGTCCCTCCCAGTTCACTCCCAGTCCATCCCAGTTCACTCCCAGTCCCTCCCAGTTCACTCACAGTCCATCCCAGTTCACTCTCAGTCCCTCCCAGTCCCTCCCAGTTCACTCCTAGTCCCTCCCAGTTCACTCCCACTCCATCCCAGTTCACTCCCAGTCCCTCCCAGTTCCCTCCCAGTCCCTCCCAGTTTGTCCCAGTCCCTCCCAGTTCCTCACACGTCACTCGCAGTTTGACGCTGGTGCTGGCCCCGCCCCCGGGCAGTGACGTCACGGCGCGGCACCGCAAGGTGGCGCCATCGTCCTCGGGGGCGGGGCGAAAGACGAGCCGCGTCCTGGCCACGCCCCCTTCGTCCTCTGACCACGCCCCCGGCAGGGGGAGCCCGTCCTGGGGGCGGGGCCGGGAGAAAGGGGCGGGCCCTCCCAGTTCACTCCCAGTCCACTCCCAGTCCATCCCAGTTCACTCCCAGTCCCTCCCAGTCCCTCCCAGTCCATCCCAGTCCCTCCCAGTCCATCCCAGTTCCCTCCCAGTCCATCCTAGTTCACTCCCAGTCCCTCCCAGTCCATCCCAGTCCCTCCCAGTCCCTCCCAGTCCCTCCAGGTTCCATTCCAGTCCCTCCCAGTCCCTCCCAGTTCACTCTCAGTCCCTCCAGGTTCCATTCCAGTCCCTCCCAGTTCACTCCCACTCCATCCCAGTCCCTCCCAGCCCCTCCCAGTCCCTCCCAGTGGGTCCCAGTGCCGCTGTGCCGCAGGAGGCGCGGGCGCGGCAGGAGCAGGTGTCGGCGCAGCTGCTGAGCGAGGAGGCCACGGCGCGAGCCCAGCGCGACTTCCAGGTGGCCCAGGCCGAGTGCGACGGAGCCGTCAGCGCCCGCAGGGCCACGGCTGAGCTGGCCTTCCAGCTGCAGGTGAGCAACACCTGCACAGGGCACACAGCTGGGACAGGTGACACACCTGGGACAGGTGACAGACACACCTGGGACACATAACACAGCTGGGACAATGTAACACAGCTGGGGCAGGTAACCAACACACCTGGGACAGGTAACCAACATGCCTGGGACAGGTAACAAACACACCTGGGACAGGTAACAAACACAGCTGGGACAGATAGAACACCTGGGACAGATATCAAACACACCTGAGGGGGCTGGAATAGGGCCTGAGAGTTCACCTGGAGCACCTGCAACCCTGCAGAACACCTGGAACCTCCAAATCCTGGGGTTTCCTCCCAAATTTGGGTCTCTTGGGTCACCTGAGGATGCCCTCAGGCTGCCTGAAGTCCCCCTAGGGATACCTGGGCCCCTGCCTGGTGTTACCTGTCCCCCTTGTCCCTCCCCTGATGGATTTGTGACCTGTCCCCTGTGTCCCCCATCCTTGTATCTCTGTGTCCCCTGTGCCCGTGTCCCTCCCCTGATGGATTTGTGACCTGTCCCCTGTGTCCCCCATCCTTGTATCCCTGTGTCACCTGTCTCTGTGACCCTCCCCTGATGGATTTGTGACCTGTCCCCTGTGTCCCCCATCCCTGTGTCCCTCCTTAGAGGGGTTTGTGACCTGTCCCCTGTGTCCCCTGTGCCCTTGTCCCTCCCCTGATGGATTTGTGTCCTGTCCCCGTGTCCCCGCAGGCGGCGCGTTCCCAGCAGGCCATCGCGGCGCAGCGCGGGGAGGTGGCGCTGGTGGAGCGGGCGCAGCGGGTGCAGCTGCAGGAGCAGGAGGTCGGGCGGCGCCGCCAGGAGCTCGAGGCCACCGTGCGCAAACCGGCCGAGGCCGAGCGCTACCGGCTGGAGCGGCTGGCTGAGGCGCAGCGGTGAGACAACGCCCCTTTAAGGGCGGCCACGCCCCTCTGGGGAGGAGCCACGCCCTCCTCCACTCGGGTGTTTTGGGGTGTCCCACCCACTGCCCTTTTAAGAGAAGTGTTGCCCCTTTGAAGAGAGGCCATATCCTCACTGTGGTGGGTCCCACCAGTAAAGGTGAAGCCATTGCCCCTTTAAGAAGGAGCCATGCCCTCACCCAGTTAGGCCCAGTGGCAGTTTAGGGTGTCCCACCCATTGCCCTTTGAAGAGAAGTGTTGTCCCTTCAAGGAGAAGCCCTCCCCGTGTCCCCGCAGGCGGCGCGTTCCCAGCAGGCCATCGCGGCGCAGCGCGGGGAGGTGGCGCTGGTGGAGCGGGCGCAGCGGGTGCAGCTGCAGGAGCAGGAGGTCGGGCGGCGCCGCCAGGAGCTCGAGGCCACCGTGCGCAAACCGGCCGAGGCCGAGCGCTACCGGCTGGAGCGGCTGGCTGAGGCGCAGCGGTGAGACACCGCCCCTTTAAGGGCGGCCACGCCCCTCTGGGGAGGAGCCACGCCCTCCTCCACTCGGGTGTTTTGGGGTGTCCCACCCACTGCCCTTTTAAGAGAAGTGTTGCCCCTTTGAAGAGAGGCCATATCCTCACTGTGGTGGGTCCCACCAGTAAAGGTGAAGCCATTGCCCCTTTAAGAAGGAGCCATGCCCTCACCCAGTTAGGCCCAGTGGCAGTTTAGGGTGTCCCACCCATTGCCCTTTGAAGAGAAGTGTTGTCCCTTCAAGGAGAAGCCCCACCATCACCTTGGTGGGTCTCACCATTTTGGTAGGGCCATTGCCCTTTTAAGAGAGGTGTCGCCCCTTTTAGGAGAAGCCCTGGTGAGTTCCACTTGTAAAAATGAAGCTGTTGCCCCTTTAAGAGAAGTGCTGCACTGTTGAGACAAAGCCATGCCCTCTCCCAGTCCACCATGATCCTGTTTTTGGTGGGTGCCACCAGTTTGGGTGGAGCCATTGCCCCTTTAAGAGAAGCCCTACCTGTTACAGTGAGTCCTATTCCTGGTGGGTCCCTCCATCAAGGTGAAGCCATTGCCCCTTTAAGAAGGAGCCACGCCCTCTCCCCATCAGCTGTGGTGGAATTTTTGGTGGGTTCCACCAGTCTGGGGAGAACCTTGGTCCCTTTAAGAGAGGTGTTGCCCCTTTAAGGAGAAGCCACACCCTCACTGTGCTGGGTCACGTGAGTTTGTGTGAAGGCATTGAGTGGGTCCCACCAGTTTGGGTGGAGCCATTGCCGTGAGTCCTATTCTGGTGGGTCCCTCCCTCAAGGTGAAGCCATTGCCCCTTTAAGAAGGAGCCACGCCCTCTCCCCATCAGCTGTGGTGGAATTTTTGGTGGGTTCCACCAGTCTGGGGAGAACCTTGGTCCCTTTAAGAGAGGTGTTGCCCCTTTAAGGATAAGCCACACCCTCACTGTGTTGGGTCACGTGAGTTTGTGTGAAGGCATTGCCCCTTTAAAGATAAGCCCCACCCCTTGAGCTGAGCCACACTCTCACTGTGATGGGCCCCACCACCTTGAGTGGCCCTTTTAAGGGAAGCCACGCCCCTTGAGAGAAGCCACGCCTCCTCCCAGTCAGACACCACACCTTGGTGGGCCTCACCACTCTCTTTTCTAGTCATGGCCCCTTTAAGAGATACATTGCCGCACCTGGGTGCTGTCATTGCCCTTTTAAGTCCCATTACTCTTTTTGAGAGAAGCCACGCCCCCTTCAAATAAACCACACCCCCACTCGGGTGGACCCACTCATATTGCACCATTGCCCCTTTAAGAGCGGCGTTGCCCCTTTAAGAGTGGCATTGCCCCTTTAAGAGCGGCATTGCCCCTTTAAGAGCAGCCCCGCCCCCTGACTTGGCGCCCCCTACAGGACGCAGGTGCTGCTGCAGGCGGAGGCCGAGGCCGAGACCCTCAGGGTGAGTCTGGGGGGCCCCGGGGGTCTGGGGGGTCCTCAGGGGATTTTGGGGGTCCCAGTTGCATTTTGTGGCCCCAAATCTGGGAATTTTTGGGTTCCCTGGGCGATTTTTGTCTCTCATAGAATTTCAGGGGATCGTGATCCTGTTTTGGGGTACCCAATCCTATTTTTGGGGTTGCCAATCCCATTTTTGGGGTTGCCAATCCCATTTTTGGGGTTCTCAATCCCGTTTTCAGGGGTCCTGCCCTCCTTTCCAGGGCCCCTGTCCTATTTCGGGTTCCCAGTCCCATTTCTGGTCCCCAGTCCTGTTTCATGTCCCCAACCCTGTTCTTGGGTTCCTGATCCCATTTTGGGTCCCCTATCCCATGTCGGTGTCCCGATCCCATTTTGGGTCCCCGATCCCATTTTGGGTCCCCGATTCCATTTTGGGTTCCTGATCCCATTTCGTGTTCCCTATCCTGTTTTGGGTCCCCAATCCCATTTTGTGTCACTGATCCCATTCCAGGGTTCCCAATCTCATTTCCAATGTTCCCGATCCCATTTTGGGTCCCGATCCCTTTTTGGGGCTCCCGATCCCATTCCTGGGGCTCTGTCCCCGTTTTTGGGTTCCTGATCCCATTTTTGGAGGTTCTGTCCCTATTTTGGGTCCCCGATCCCACGTTCATGTCCCCAATCCCGTTTCACATCCCCAATCCCATTTCCAATGTCCCCAGTCCTGTTTCATGTCCCCAGTCCCATTTCCAATGTCCCCAATGCCATTTTGGGTCCCTGATCCCGATTTTGGGTTCCCAGTCCCATTTCTGATGTCCCTAACCCTGTGTCCATGTCCCCAATCCCATTTTGGTGTCCCCAATCCCATTTCCAATGTCCCCAACCCCATTGGTGTCCCCTCAGGTGACGGGCGCTGCCCGTGCTGTGGCCGTGGCCTCTTGTGCCCATTCCTGGGTTCCCAATCCCATTTTGGTGTCCCCACTCCCATGTTGGTGTCCCCAGTCCCATTTTCCATGTCCCCAATCCCATTTCCAACGTCCCCAATCCCATTTTGGTGTCCCCAATCCCATTTCCCACATCCCCAATCCCATTTTGGTGTCCCCAATGCCATGTTGGTGTCCCCTCAGGTGACGGGCGCTGCCCGTGCCGCGGCCGCAGTCTCTCGTGCCCATTCCCGGGTTCCCAACCCTGTTTCTGATGTCCCCAGTCCCATTTCCCATGTCCCCAGTCCCATTTTGGTGTCCCCAATCCCATTGGTGTCCTCGCAGGTGACAGGAACTGCCCGTGCTGCGGCTGTGGCCTCTCATGCCCATGCCTGGGTTCCCAATCTCATTTCCAATGTCCCCACTCCCATTTTGGCATCCCCAATCCCATTTCCAATGTCCCCAGTCCCATTTTGGCATCCCCAATCCCATTTGCCATGTCCTCAATCCCATTTCCAATGTCCCCAACCCCACTGGTGTCCCCTCAGGTGACGGGCGCTGCCCAGTGCCACAGCCGTGGCCTCTCGTGCCCATTCCCAGGTTCCCAGTCCTGTTTCTGGTGTCCCCAGTCCCATTTCCCATGTCCCCAGTCCCATTTTGGTGTCCCCAATCCCGTTTCATGTCCTCGCAGGTGACGGGCACTGCCCGTGCCACAGCCGTGGCCTCTTGTGCCCATTCCTGGGTTCCCAATCCCATTTCCCATGTCCCCAATCCCATTTTGATGTCCCCAGTCCCATTTTGGTGTCCCCAGCCCCATTTCCCATGTCCCCAATCCCATTTCCAATGTCCCCAACCCCATTGGTGTCCCCTCAGGTGACGGGCACTGCCCAGGCCGCGGCCGTGGCCTCTCGTGCCCATTCCTGGGTTCCCAATCCCATTTCCCATGTCCCCAGTCCCATTTCACATGTTCCCAATCCCGCTGTGGTGTCCCCAATCCCACTTCCAATGTCCTCAACCCCATTTGGTGTCCCCAATCCCATTTCCCATGTCCCCAGTCCCATTTCGGTGTTTCCAATCCCATTTCCCATGTCCCCAATCCCATTTCCCATGTCCCCAGTCCCATTTCGGTGTTTCCAATCCCATTTCCAATGTCCCCAATCCCATTTTGGTGTCCCCAATCCCATTTCCCACGTCCCCAGTCCCATGTTGGTGTCCCCAATGCCCTTTGTGTCCCCTCAGGTGACGGGCGCTGCCCGCGCCGCGGCCGTGGCCTCTCGTGCCCATTCCCGGGTTCCCAATCCCATTGTGGTGTCCCCAATCCTATTTCCCATGTCCCCAATCCCATTTCCCACATCCCCAGTCCCATATTGGTGTCCCCAATGCCATGTTGGTGTCCCCTCAGGTGACGGGCGCTGCCCGTGCCGCGGCCGCAGTCTCTCGTGCCCATTCCCGGGTTCCCAATCCCATTGTGGTGTCCCCAATCCTATTTCCCATGTCCCCAATCCCATTTCCAATGTCCCCAGTCCCATTTTGGCATCCCCAATCCCATTTCCAATGTCCCCAGTCCCATTTTGGCATCCCCAATCCCATTTCCAATGTCCCCAGTCCCATTTTGGCATCCCCAATCCCATTTCCAATGTCCCCAGTCCCATTTTGGCATCCCCAATCCCATTTGCCATGTCCTCAATCCCATTTCCAATGTCCCCAACCCCACTGGTGTCCCCTCAGGTGACGGGCGCTGCCCGTGCCACAGCCGTGGCCTCTCGTGCCCATTCCCAGGTTCCCAGTCCTGTTTCTGGTGTCCCCAGTCCCATTTCCCATGTCCCCAGTCCCATTTTGGTGTCCCCAATCCCGTTTCATGTCCTCGCAGGTGACGGGCACTGCCCGTGCCACAGCCGTGGCCTCTTGTGCCCATTCCTGGGTTCCCAATCCCATTTCCCATGTCCCCAGTCCCATTTTGGTGTCCCCAGCCCCATTTCCCATGTCCCCAATCCCATTTCCAATGTCCCCAACCCCATTGGTGTCCCCTCAGGTGACGGGCGCTGCCCAGGCCGCGGCCGTGGCCTCTCGTGCCCATTCCTGGGTTCCCAATCCCATTTCCCATGTCCCCAGTCCCATTTCACATGTTCCCAACCCCGCTGTGGTGTCCCCAATCCCACTTCCAATGTCCTCAACCCCATTTGGTGTCCCCAGTCCCATTTCCCATGTCCCCAGTCCCATTTCGGTGTTTCCAATCCCATTTCCCATGTCCCCAATCCCATTTCCCATGTCCCCAGTCCCATTTCACATGTTCCCAATCCCGCTGTGGTGTCCCCAATCCCACTTCCAATGTCCTCAACCCCATTTGGTGTCCCCAGTCCCATTTCCCATGTCCCCAGTCCCATTTCGGTGTTTCCAATCCCATTTCCCATGTCCCCAATCCCATTTCCCATGTCCCCAGTCCCATTTCACATGTTCCCAATCCCGCTGTGGTGTCCCCAATCCCACTTCCAATGTCCTCAACCCCATTTGGTGTCCCCAGTCCCATTTCCCATGTCCCCAGTCCCATTTTGGTGTCCCCAATCCCGTTTCATGTCCTCGCAGGTGACGGGCACTGCCCGTGCCACAGCCGTGGCCTCTTGTGCCCATTCCTGGGTTCCCAATCCCATTTCCCATGTCCCCAGTCCCATTTTGGTGTCCCCAGCCCCATTTCCCATGTCCCCAATCCCATTTCCAATGTCCCCAACCCCATTGGTGTCCCCTCAGGTGACGGGCACTGCCCAGGCCGCGGCCGTGGCCTCTCGTGCCCATTCCTGGGTTCCCAATCCCATTTCCCATGTCCCCAGTCCCATTTCACATGTTCCCAATCCCGCTGTGGTGTCCCCAATCCCACTTCCAATGTCCTCAACCCCATTTGGTGTCCCCAATCCCATTTCCCATGTCCCCAGTCCCATTTTGGTGTCCCCAATCCCGTTTCATGTCCTCGCAGGTGACGGGCACTGCCCGTGCCACAGCCGTGGCCTCTTGTGCCCATTCCTGGGTTCCCAATCCCATTTCCCATGTCCCCAGTCCCATTTTGGTGTCCCCAGCCCCATTTCCCATGTCCCCAATCCCATTTCCAATGTCCCCAACCCCATTGGTGTCCCCTCAGGTGACGGGCGCTGCCCAGGCCGCGGCCGTGGCCTCTCGTGCCCATTTGGTGTCCCCAATGCCCTTTGTGTCCCCTCAGGTGACGGGCGCTGCCCGCGCCGCGGCCGTGGCCTCTCGTGCCCATTCCCGGGTTCCCAATCCCATTGTGGTGTCCCCAATCCTATTTCCCATGTCCCCAATCCCATTTCCCACATCCCCAGTCCCATATTGGTGTCCCCAATGCCATGTTGGTGTCCAGATTCCTGATTTGGGGCCAATTTTGGGGCCGATTTGAGGATCCCTAATCTGGGGCTGATTTGGAATTCCCGATTTGGGGCTGATTTTGGAATCCCTGATTTGGGGCTGATCTGGGGGTCCCTGACCTGGGGCTGATTTTGGGTTCCTCAGTTTGGGGCCAATTTTGGGGCTGATTTTGG